TCTATCAAAATGAGTAGATTTAAAAATCAATGATATATTATGAAGAAAAAAAAGAGAATGAAGTGTTTTTACGGAATTAAATTGTAGAAGAAAAGAGAACTTAGAAAAAAAATTATAATAAGTAAAGAGTGAAAAATTCCATATAAATACCCCAACTAAATTTTATTAAGTTTTTTAATACCCAAACTTTTTCGCTACCCAGTTTAATACCCCAACTAATTATTTTACCCATTTTAATGCACAAACATTTATAAATGTGCCCATTTTAATACCCAAATTTTGTTTATTTTAATTAACAATACGAATAAATTTGCAATAAAATTTTTAAAATTTCTAAACTTTACAAAAAAAATTGATTTTATTATATGTTATGGAAATGAAATTAAATAAATTTTATATAATCTTAAGTTTTGTAATAAGTTTTTTAAGTTTTATATATTGAATTTAGTTTGTTTTCTGAAATAAAAAAAAGTAAATTATTTTTTTTTCCTTCAAATTTTTTTTTTTAACATTTAAATTTTCTCCAGAGTTTATTTACCTTGTTTCTTAAATATTAGAGTAAACTTAGAAATTTTAAATATTTTTTCTTATATTTTGGAGATTTTTAAAAATTTTGTTTGAAACTTATTAGTATTGTTAATTAAAGTAAACAAAGTTTGGGTATTAAAATGGGCACAATTATAAAGGTTTGTATATTAAAGTGGGAAAAAATATTAGTTGAGGTATTAAATTGGGTAGTGAAAAAGTTTGGGTATTAAAAAGCTTAATAAAATTTAATTGAGATATTTATATGGAATTTTCCCTAATCCAAAACACCAGATTTCAACTAATATTTGGAAATTATAAACGAGGGTCTGCCCAATTTACAGTTTAAAGTGATTTAGCTTTTAATAAGTTTTAGATGATTTTTGTCAAATGCAAATTTATTATGCTTTTGTTAAACCATTATAAAATCTCATCGAAAAATATGAAATTTCATTTTTGTTTGTTGTAAAAATACGAATCAACTCGAAGAAAGTAAAGAAACTTAAAAGCAAAAATGAAGTAAGATAAATACATGTTTAAGGTTTGTATATTGAATATATGAATGAATTAAATTTATAATCATTTAGACCCCCGTATCTATAACAGTTTTATAATCTGGCATTTCTTTTTTTGAATACATACTTATCTTAGAAAAAGTAGTTTTTCTAATCCTCAAATGTGCACTGTACCATAGGGGCATTCATAACCCGCTAGATATCAATTTTGATAAGAGAGAATTAGCCAAATACCCATATTTGAGCTGATATTAGATAAGTAACAATGACTTGACATAAATGCAATTTTCCTTACAATTTTACCTTAGGTTGGATCTTAATAAAGTTTTGACGTTCTCTTTTCCTCCAGAGACTCTCTTTCCTCATCTGACATTCTCTCTCCCTCCTAACACTCTATTTTCCTCATCTGCAATTCTATCTCTCCTAATAATACACTCTTTCTTTTTAGGGAAAATTCCATATAAATACCCCAACTAAATTTTATTAAGCTTTTTAATACCCAAACTTTTTCACTACCCAATTTAATACCTCAACTAATAATTTTTCCCACTTTAATATACAAACCTTTATAATTGTGCCCATTTTAATACCCAAACTTTGTTTACTTTAATTAACAATACTAATAAGTTTCAAACAAAATTTTTAAAAATCTCCAAAATATAAGAAAAAATATTTAAAATTTCTAAGTTTACTCTAATATTTAAGAAATAAGGTAAATAAACTCTGGAGAAAATTTAAATGTTAAAAAAAAAATTTGAAGGAAAAAAAATAATTTACTTTTTTTTATTTCAGAAAACAAACTAAATTCAATATATAAAACTTAAAAAACTTATTACAAAACTTAAGATTATATAAAATTTATTTAATTTCATTTCCATAACATATAATAAAATCAATTTTTTTTGTAAAGTTTAGAAATTTTAAAAATTTTATTGCAAATTTATTCGTATTGTTAATTAAAATAAACAAAATTTGGGTATTAAAATGGGCACATTTATAAATGTTTGTGCATTAAAATGGGTAAAATAATTAGTTGGGGTATTAAACTGGGTAGCGAAAAAGTTTGAGTATTAAAAAACTTAATAAAATTTAGTTGGGGTATTTATATGGAATTTTCCCTTTGGATTATACAAAATTTACTTGTAAATTTGATTTTACAGTATGTGAAACTCTCGTGGTTCCCATTCTCTGAAATTTGATGTTTATTCCCATTGTGCCTCCCAAAGAGATCTTACCAAACTTCATTTAGCTATCGTCAGTGGTGGTCCATAACCAACTCTTTGCTCCAAGCTTTTCATGTCTCTAGCAAATACAACAGGTGCATTAGTTCAACAAGGTAAAGATCTATCCAAAATCAATTCAAAAAGATTACATACTTCGCTTGCATTTCTTGGAATGATGCTGAGGATTGACAGGTCGACCAGTTCTTGATTGCCTTTGCCTCTACATTTGCATCTGTTCAATACTCATTTGCATTATTTTCTTTCAGCCTTCCACTTCATTTTGTTGGCTCTAACCGGTTCAGCCTTTCTTGCCTAGGTTAGTTCTCCTTCGTCTTTTAAGAGGCCGCCTGAAGCTTTCTCCTCTTAGATTTGGGCACACACTTCTTCAAGTATTTGATCAAGTCATTGATGGTTTGATTCAGTGTAAGGAACAGTCTAAACACCTTTTCGTGCTCTCTCCTTTCATTGAGGATGCTTGGCCTCAGCATCTTAGGTTCGGCCCATATCAATCTAAACCTTCCAGAGTGTCTAGTGAACTCCATATCTCTTTGGGTAAGGTTGTTGTTCTTGACCAACAAATGTGTTTGTTCAAGTCATTAAGAGTTGGATTCAGGAAGAGGAGTAGCCAAAACACCTCTCTTGCTCACCTTTTTCTAGTTCTCCATCTTGGATAAAATAAGTATTCAAATAGCTTTAAGAGATGAACCAAGATGATTATTTCGAAATGAAAATCCAATTCCACTTCATGAAACACTTGGTATTTACTCTAAATTTCAATCTCCTGCAGTTTATTTTTTTACCAAAAAAACTCAGTGCATTGCAACCCTGTAGAAACTGACCCTCAAAGAAGATTTGAGATCGTACATCTCCAGCCACTATCGATTCAGAGCAGTTTCGCCACCCAGCCACCATCATTCGTCGAAGCTAACACCAGAAACTATTTAGTCTTAAGCTTTAGTTTTGACAGTTTAGTAAATCGAAGATATCACATTATCAGTTAGGATTTTTGTTATTATAAGGCTGATACGTGTTCTTTGATATCATCGAGACATGTTCGGCCGGAGAGCCACCACGACATGCCCTCACGCACCACCACTCGCCGTCGCCATTCCGCGAGTGGATCTCACTCGCCATCGTCCGTCACTGCTGTTGATTTCTGGTAAGCCATCACCACCAGTGACTCGCTATCTGGCTGAGAGTCAACTTTGTGAGTCAACTCGGTGACATTCAACTTATCGTTTTAATTGGATTATGATTCAGTTAGGCTAAACCGTATAGTTATTAAAAATTGATTTGGTTTGGTTAGGGTTAAGTAGGTTAGTTAGTGGAATTTAATTATGATTTAGAAAAACTGATTTTATTCAGTTGAAATCGATTTCAGGTAAGGAAAAACGATTGGCCAAGTCGATTTTAATATGGTTAATGGTCGACCGGTTTGGGTCAGAGTTGACCGGGTTGGTCGTTTATAATAGACTTTATGTTGACTTGACGACACCATTGGCTACCCATTTTCAATCGTTCGAAAGGTGTTTTTCATGATTTTCGCCCTGATTTGGAGTCTATTTGAACATTTGGAATTCATAGATACCAATTTTCCACATTGCTAAGGTGAGGGTTATTCCATAACATCCAGTACTAGTGTAGAACTACTTTTATGGTAGTTTAGTTTTCGAAGCATGTTTCGTCTGTATGAATTGAGCCTGTTTGAGTATTGGTTGATAATTAGTATATTGATTGTAAAGCGGAATTAATAATTTAGAGGATTTCACCGCTGTTTGGATTGTATAATGTTAAGTATGGTATATATAGTTATAAAGTTAAGAACTATGTGGTGATTGTGGGGCCATAAACGTCTGAGCTAACGATTGCATATCGACGCGAAGTGATGATTGTAGGGTGCATAGATGTTTGCATATCAATGCAAAGTAAATATTGCATGGATACATATACAGACTTATGTACTATCGATGTAGAGTACATATGCACTATCCGTATGTGGAGCGGAGAATGCATGTGTATGAACTAGCTATATATGTACTATGAACACACTGATTGTTTTGTGTTGTACAATATGCATCTTGTTTATTCATTAAAGCTAAACTTCCATAATGCAAGTTCTAGTTACTCAGTCAGTGGTATTCTATCTAAACATCTCATACTTCATTGAATGACTCATCTATTATACACTCCTCTTTTTTTCTTTTTTCATGTAAGGCTGGCGAGTAAGAGTGATTCTTATCGGATTGATGTTTTGGATTTTTTTTCTTTGTTTTATTTTCATGATTTCCCTTTTATGTTTTATATTTCAGGTTTTAATTTATTTATTAGATATATGGTGTTTAAAATTAATTTTAAGTATTAATAAATGGAGATTTGTGCACAAAAATAATAAAATAAATGGAAATTCAGAGATTGAGTTTAATGAGTGTAAGAAACCACACAGGCACACATAATGATCCTTGTTTACTTCTGCTTTAACATGCAGGTAGTAAAATATGTTAATACTTATGGATATCTCTTTTCTAAAAAACCTCAATAATTATTGTGTGACATTGTGACAAATATGAAGAGAATATTGTGAGTTAAAAAAAAAAGCACAAATATGAACAGAATATTATGGAAGTGTATGCATACTAATATACTACTATATATAAGTGCTGAGTATATGAAAGTTAGACAGACGTGACAATCCAACCAATTAAAAAAAAAAGCGAAAGAGAAACAGCCACCGGAAAAAATGTCACGACTCGAGAACGAGAACGGTCGCCCGCTTCTAACGGACAGAATCTACGAGGAGAAGGAAGAAGAAGAGGCGGCGTACGAAGAGGCGGAGAAAGTCCACATCGTGAGAGACGAGTACGAAAGCGAGAGAGACCTCGAGTACGGCGTCGGATGCGGCGGCGCACCGCCGTTCTCGTGGAAGAAGTTATGGCTGTTCACCGGGCCTGGGTTCTTAATGAGCATTGCGTTTCTCGATCCAGGAAACCTCGAAGGTGATCTCCAAGCCGGGGCTGTGGCGGGATACTCGCTTCTGTGGCTACTTATGTGGGCGACGGCGATGGGTCTTTTGGTTCAGCTTTTATCGGCGAGGCTCGGTGTAGCGACGGGTCGTCACTTGGCTGAGCTTTGTCGCGAAGAGTATCCGACTTGGGCGGGTAGGGTTTTGTGGGTTATGGCTGAGTTGGCTTTGATTGGATCTGATATTCAAGAAGTCATTGGAAGTGCTATTGCTATCCAGATTCTGACCAATGGAATCTTGCCTCTCTGGGGTGGTGTCGTTATTACAGCTCTTGACTGGTAATAACCAATTAAAGTTTTTTTTTTAATCTGTAAAGCATTAAATGAACTGTTCATTGACCATTAGCTTTGTTGATTTTTTATAGAACTTCTTCTTCAAAAATGAGGTTATGTGTCATTAATTCATGTGTGTTTTTGGTTACAGTTTCGTCTTCTTGTTTCTTGAGAACTACGGAATTAGGAAACTGGAGGCAGTGTTTGCGGTTTTAATCGGAACAATGGCGGTGGCATTCGCTTGGATGTTCGGTCAAACCAAGCCAAGTGGCTCTGAGCTTCTCATTGGTCAGGCTTGTGTTCTCTTTATCCAGTTTCTCACTAGAACTCTCACTTGTACGGTCTAAAGAAGTGTTACTTTCCTTTCCTTGCAGGCATATTGGTACCGAAACTAAGCTCAAGAACAATACAAAAAGCAGTTGGAGTTGTAGGTTGCGTTATAATGCCACATAATGTGTTTCTTCACTCAGCTCTCGTTCAATCCAGAGAGATAGACAGAAAACAGAAGTACAGGGTCCAAGAAGCTATAAACTACTACTCAATCGAAGCAACGATCGCTCTCACCGTCTCCTTTATAATCAACCTCTTTGTCACAGCGGTTTTCGCTAAAGGGTTTTACAACACTGACATTGCCGACAGCATCGGCCTAGTGAACGCGGGTCAGTATCTACAGGACAAGTATGGAGGCGGGTTTTTCCCGATACTGTACATTTGGGGGATAGGGTTGTTAGCTGCTGGACAGAGCAGCACCATCACAGGTACATACGCGGGACAGTTCATCATGGGAGGGTTTCTAAATTTCAAGATGAAGAAATGGTTGAGATCTTTGATCACGCGTAGCTGCGCGATTGTTCCAACTATCATCGTTGCTATAGTGTTTGATAAGTCTGAAGGTAGTGTAGATGTGTTAAACGAGTGGCTTAACGTGCTTCAGTCCATTCAAATACCCTTTGCCCTCATTCCATTACTTTGTTTGGTCTCCAAGGAACAGATCATGGGTAGTTTCAAAATCGGTCCTTTGTATCAGGTTTGTGAACCCATCATTTAGCTATATTCATTAATGATCACTTTTTGATGTTCTTACATTTGGTTTGTGTAGACAACCGCTTGGCTCGTTGCTGCGCTTGTGATAATGATAAACGGTTATCTATTGCATGACTTCTTCTCCTCAGCGGTTAGTGGCGTCCTCTATACCGGTTTTGTAACTGTGTTCACGGCTTCATATGGTTCCTTCATAGTCTACCTTATTGCTCGTGGCATCAATTTCACTCCGTGGCGCTCTAAAGCAGAGTTAAGTTGATGAGAATGGGACCAAACCAGATAATGTAACTCTCTCATGTTTTTTCGATGATAAGGCAATTGAGTTTGCTTGTGTAATTTTTTTGTTTGCTTGTGTAATTTTCTTCTGTATAATAATGTATCATAAAGAAGCTCTGGTTTGATTTTTTTTTTTTTTAAATCTCTGGTTTTGTTGTGAAAGAAGGCTCTTCTAGGGTCCCAGAGATGAGAGAATGAATAAGATATTTTCACTTTTCACCATCTCCTATTGTTGTGGGCATTTTAGTATTACTACTGAGCATAAATAACATCTAAAAGTTTGTTCAAGAGGGAGGTAACATCTACAACAGATTTATACATTATTCTCATTCACACTCAAAACGTTGGTGCTAAACTTAATAATATAACCCTCTCAAGTTAAGCACTGGACATATGAACATGACGTTTGTGAGATTTAACATCCACTACAATGAAGAAATTAAAACTTTTTGAACTCAGATAACGTAGTAGTAATTTGTTTATAGTCTAACTTTAGTAATAATTACCAGTTCGAGAAAAAATAATAATTTTGTTTGTTTGTTTGTTTGTTTGTTGAATAGAGAGATAGGTGAATGAAATAAAAGTATGTGTTGTCCCATCTTAGTGTTTATTAAATGCATTCTCCCATACCATATGAGAACTGAATTAGGGGGAATGAATAGGGAATGAAACTTGGTCGTAGCAATGTTGAATAAAATCGAGTAGGGGTGGGTGTAAATTGGTAATATAGTACCAGCATAGGTGACCAATACAATAACTGAATAAACGAAACAGGATGAAAGGAATAAAAATTCGAATATCTAAATATTACAGAAGAAATG